CATCATATTGTGAGTAATACTTCTAACAAGCTCTTGATTATAATGGGGACCAATATTTGTTGTTCTCAAAAATTCTGCAAAATTTAAAAGAAAAACAAATTCACGATGTTCAATTACCCACCATAGACTCCAGTCAGTCAAAATGACTGAACTGTAGGCATTAATCCGCCAATAACGAAGAGATAGAATCTAGGTCAGGGGAAGCCCCATGACCCCAAGATTCTTTTTCAGTACGTCACGAACCATGTGACCAAGCCCATATGGCGGCGCCTTTCCGGCTGGATATCCACTCTGCATCGAGCGGGGTTTAGCGGCTCTGCCTGGATCGCTTGCTTTTTCCTGTCCGGGTTTCTAACTTGGGCTGTTGCCGCTGCCACGGCATCCGTCATTGTTGCTGGTAGGATAAGTTTTCCTTGTCATTTTTACCCTCGTGTCGTTTTCCCCTTTGTGTGTAGCATTTTTCCCAACAAAGCGATAAAACCTGGCGTCATAGCTTAATCACTTGTCGATTTCGTGATGTCACCTTTTTAGCCTTCGCAGACGAAGTCTGCCGAAGGCCTATAGATTGGGTTCCTCTTATAACTTTGATATGCTCTGTCCAATGTTTTTCCAAGTTGGTGCATATGTAATTCTCAATGCCATACATATGCACGCCAAGTATTGTTTTGATTCGCCAAAGTTTCCTTGTGTTTTTCTGTGATTTTCAACATTTTACTAGTAAAAATGCCGAAATTTGCCAGAAAAATTTGAGTTTTAACGACATCTCACAAGAGAACTGGCATACCTTATTGAGTATGCGCCAGTCTAACCACTGAGGATTCGGCGTCGTTTTCGTCTGAGGATATTGTATTCCGGGACTGTATCTTTCTTTGCACAAGGCTTATATAGATTAAATTCTATCTCAAAGGTAAGAAACTGTGCTTATGGTATTTATTATGAACTTTGATTTATCCTTTTGTGTCCTGACTTTGGTGAAAAACTAGCGGTCGCAAGGTGTCACACTTTGCCAGAAAAACAGTCCTGCTATCAGTTCAAGAACTGGTTATGAAACGTGTAAATCTAAAGTTTATCTCGTCATTCAAGAGGCTTGGGTATAACGTTTAGCATATAAAATACTGGAATAATAAAAACGTAAAAATTTAGAACATGCTGATCATGATTCTGTTGCACGATTGCTATTTCCGGTGTTCATTGGCAACTGCTAGCAGATTGAAACTTGGTTTCGTGACGACATATTAGACTAGAATTATTGAGAACATACAAGTCAAGTTGGCCAACCATGACTGCTTGAAAGCAATGATGAAATTGAAAAGTACTGTAATTCAATTTCAATGAATCTATCATCACTTTTAAATTACCTTTGAAGTAAATATGATACCCGAGTGCGTTACTACACTCGTGACCGGGGACCTCCATGCTCCATGCGGTGTTGAAGTTTTTCCCAATCAGCTATTTATTTCGGTACTGAAGTCAGGGTGGCAATTTCAATGTTTAGCTACCATAATTTATCTCCATTATGAGCAGGAAAATAAATTACCGACCTTGATTGAGATGGATTTAACGGTGGCCATGTTTTTTTATTGTTGACATTGTGCATTAAAAGATATGTAAAACAATATTAGGGAGGGGGTCAAATTCTTGTAATCCTCAATTTTAATGATGTTGACTTAATAGTCATAATTTTTTTTTTTCAAAATTCCGGATATTATTTTATATATTATTTTAATACAACTACAATATGTTAATTAGTATGCAATTTAGCAGCCAGTCTGAGACCATTTTTTAGAATGAACACTGCAATCCAGTTCAAAGGAAATTTGACATACACTTAGGTTAGATGATCACTACCTCTGCTGATTAGTTTTTTGTGCACTTCTATCTGCTTTTATATTATATGTATTATTTTTTTGTATTTTTCTCAATAGTATTTTTTTATTTCATTTGATAGCTTGGCATCCATTTGGTTCAGCTCAAGTGAAATTTTCTGCATATCCCTGGTCAGATTTTAATGACATTGAAAACACAAGTACTCTGGCTTTTTGCACATTCTTAATTATTTATTTTTGCAGAATCTCGTGAATATTAATTTGACAACTTTGTAGAGTGGAAACAAATTGGTGAATTAGTTCATCCTAGACTTTGGTAGAACATGTTTAAAATAGTACAGTGTGAACTGCAATTTCTTTCTGGCTGGTATAAATTTATTAAGTAATATTTTTTCGTACTAAAAAGACTAAAATATCTTTTTCAATTAAATCTAACAGCCAATGGGAGCACATATGCTACAACCTCTGCTTACTTCGGACTAAATGTTCT